ACGTCCTCTTGTTCTTCTGGAGAAGCAGGCACTGCGCATGTGCTTGGGGCTACCTAAATTTGTAGCGAATAACGTTTTATATATAGAAGCTAAAACTCCCTCACTCTTCACCAGATTCAGAATATTGACTGTACAAACAAACTAAAGGGCATTTGAATCTCCTTTGAAGCGTGAAAACACAATTTTCATAGCGCAACCTGGTTTATTTTTTTATTGTCATTGACCTAGATTTCACACACGTCAAGTAAAGTTTGTACTGTCTCTTCTCGACCCACTGTCCGCGAAAATTAGCGAGGTTCCGCTAATTTGTAGCTCGACAAGTTCTCTCTAATATACTTTGATGACATTTTCTCTAATAGTGCTAAACAACTGCCGAGTAATTTGTTAAGAGCTACTTTACTGGATCGTATGCCTGCTAGGAATGCAAGCACATGCAATCATTGCGACGAACGCTTCACAGCGAGATGACAAGAGAGGCATCGGTCTATTCTGCCCTGTTCTAGACTGGTCCTCTTGCCTCCCAATTCCAGATTTCGCACCTATCTATTGCAGAATTTTTAGCCGTAATATTGGCCCTTCGAAAACTGCCAACGTCAATGAATTCCGCCGTAATAATAACAGACTCCTTGTCGGTCTGCAGTACGCTCATGGCATCCGGTGATTCGAAAACATTGGGCGAATTCAACACCCTAGTACCGAATCACTTAAACCAGGTGCGATTAGTATGGGTGCCGGGGCATGGAGACATAACTCTAAATGAAACAGCTCGTACACTAGCGAAAGCGGCGTTAGACGGACCAGCTATCAATGTTACCCCTACAACTGCCTTTATATATAGTAACTTCTTGATTTCGAAGGCAAATTATGATGCGAGAATTTTCCACACCATCTTTAGAAAATTCTCTGGATTTCAACCATCTAAAGACACCCTGGAAATCTTCCTCATGTCATAAGCGATGCCTGGAAGTTTTAATCACTCGATTACGCTGTCGTATTCTTCCATTAAAATTTTATTTGTTTCGAGCAGACTTGACTCTCTCCCCACTTTGTTCTTTTTGTGAAGGAGAGAAAACTGTGGAGCATTTTTCTATCTCTTCTAGAAAGTTTTCAACATAAAGAAAGGTATCACTAGAAATACCGTTACGAATCCTTGGCTTAGCTTTGACAACGTCAAATTTATTATCCCTAGGTGCACATACCCAAGGGCACAGCAACGGGAAAGTGTGCGCGGCCGTGCAAAATTTCATTGAACAGTCTAAGACTGTTCAGGCCACAACTTGCGCTCCTCTGTGTAGGCACTGCCAGCGTAAAATTGTACGCCTCACTGGCCCGCACGAGGGCCTCCGCAGAAACCCGAACGTTCGACACTACTCGACCGTTGTACAACACTTTGTATGCGATATTTGAATTTGTAGGAATAACCTCCATAGCAAAATGTTCTCAGTTAACCCACGCAGGCTACAAAAATATTTTTATTTAATATTAACCATTCATTGCTCATTCAGTAGAAACAAATTCATTTATATTTTTCTGAAGAATTATTTACAAAAGCAAAATTTCTGATAATTTTACTTTCGCCAGTGTATAAATGTATACATTCGCTTTTTTTGTTAAGCTACCCGATTTTTTGGCCGATCTCCCAGGGTGGGCGTGAGCCACAAGTTTAGGATCTACATCTACATCTACATTTGCTCTCTGTGTGCGTCATATTGAACTAGAGGTACTGCATATGCTACTTGTAGGTAGCATATGCTCCCGTAGGGAGCATATACAGTAACTCTATATTGAATCACCCTGTGAACCACCTATAGGCGACGAAACTTGCGAATAGCTGTAGGCTGCCGGGCTCTCGGGCCAAATGAACATCGTTCAAACTGTTCTTGTTCTGTGGTTCAAACAAAGACCTCATGCTCAAGCAAATTTTTTTTTTCGGGAAGGGGGCACCTGTGCGAGGGGGGGGGGGGGAGGTTCGTGTGCCATTGCGTAAAAAATTTAGGGGGAGGCGAGGGGGCCAAAGGTTTGGTGTGTCATCGCGACTGAAGACTATTGGACTATAGGAAGAAGCAGTACATCACAAAGCCATATGGATTTAATTTAAAGGTACATCCTTCCGATCTTGAGCAACGCTTGACTCTGATCACCTACTCATCGGAGTACATATGTAATGTTTGTTGCATTTTAGTAGTGTGAATAGCCAGCACTGCAATCCCAATTGGCGTATACCCGACATGACACTTGTATGTAGGGTATGCTTCCTAAGTAATCCCGCCGCGGTGGTCTAATAGCTAAGGTACTCGGCTGCTGAGCTGCAGGAGTCACGGGATAGAATCCCTGCTGCAGCGAGTTCATTTTGATGGAAGCGAAAATGCTGTAGGCCCTTGTGCTCAGATTTGGGTGCACGTCGAGAAAACCCCAGATGGTCGAAATTTCCGGAGTCCTCCACTACGGCGTCTCTCATAATCGTATATACGGTAGCTTTAGGACGTTAAACCCCGCATAGCATATCAATTATCTTTCCTGAGCAGGCTGCAGCATTGGCGTGTATCTGTTGAATACGCGACTGCCTCTCAGAATTCCGGCTCGAGCTCCTGATTTTTATTATTTGCCGTCATTGCAATTTTCGCAAACTTCACCTATGCAGAATTTTCGTTACACGGTATGTACAAAGCTATCGCGCTAATATGTGCTTTCCTAAAGGCGTCAGTTTCACTACGCCCCATCGCGATGGTCTAGTGGCTAAGGTACTCGGTTGCTGACCCGCAGATCGCTGGATGGAATGCCGGCTGCGGTGGCTGCATTTCCGATGGAGGCGGAAATGTTGTAGGCCCGTGTGCCGAGATTTGGGTGCACGTTAAAGAATCCCAGGTGGTCCAAATTTCCGAGGCCCTCCACTACGGCGTCTCTCATAATCGTATGGTGGTTTTGGGACGTTAAACCCCACATATCAATCAATCAATCTGTTTCAGTACATTAGGTGCACAACACAATTAATATTTTCGCTTTCTTGCAATCACGCTGCTTGCGATAACGCCAGCGCAAACCATTTATACTGTATCCACCGGAAACGTCTTCGTGGCTCCGCGAAATCACTGACAGTGAGCACTACTACATGGCCACAACTTGCGCTCCTCTGTATAGGCGCTGCCAGCGTAAAATTGTACGCCTCACTGGCCCGCACGAGGGCCTCCGCAGAAACCCGAACGTTCGACACTACTCGTTGTAGTCAATGGAGCTTGGCGAGAACGTCGACTTTATGCGCATGTCGTTTCGGCGGCATATCTCCACGCACGCTTGAGCAGTTCCCTGACGTCCCCGAGAGAATCTGTCGTTTCCGGCTCGCTACTGAGTCTCGCGTCAGAGCGCTGCGGCAACCAAGGTCGTTGCATGATATTGTTACATGACATCGGACAACGAGAGAGCATGAGGTAGACGACGAAGACGACGAATGCGATCATGCTCCTGTGTTGTTGCTGTTGTACCTCCATCTTGGCTGCAGCTGCCTCTGACTCTCTCTGTATATTTTGTAAATATATTTATTTCATTCATTATCTCACCCCCGTGACAATATGCTCGAAGTATGAATGGAGGGCATTCTGTAAAATAAGGCTCTTCCCTTCTCCACATTTTCTCGCTCGTTACAATTTAACGTTGAATGAGCATGCGGATATGGCATTAGGGGTAGCCAGAGAATAGCACTAGGAAGCCTCGGTGCAACCCCCCCCCCCAACCACCCACATTTTTTTACCATTGCATACAGAGCACAAAATGACTCTACCATATTCGTCTGCACGGCCCCAACTTCAGATCAAAGTGGTGCCCCCTCTCCCCCCCCCCCCCAAAAAAAAATATCATGGCATATTCACGAAGTGAATGATGATGAGTGGTCACACACTAGGACCGCTCGGTGTTATCGTAAATCACCCGTGAAATTGACCACTAACGCATGTAAATGAGTCAAAAGTGGTGTGCAGTTCATACAATGTATATCTGTCTTAAGTGGCATGTTGTGTTAGGTTGTGAATTTTGTTTTGCCTTCATTATTACTGCATTGTGGTATCGGATCTATTCTAAAGATGGCAAAGACGAGATCTGGGCACGTTCCCCTAGGTGGTTTTCGGTTGTTTCCAGTCATACGAAATGCATCATGTAGCATATTGAGACATCATATACTGCACAAGCCAGTCGTCTGTGGTCATCATAGTCACCATCTTCATCGTCATCACTCACCAGCGTCACTGTCATCCTCGAGTAAACATTTGTTTGAAGTGCAAAGACATGGAAGGCGGGATGGGTTTGTGTAAGTTTTAGTGCAGATAAACGAGCCGAAAGTGTTTCTGAATGATGCGCGGTCGAGCGTTGCGGTGGAGAGGGTGAAGCGAAAAAAAGTGTGCTGCGAGCGGTGGAGGAACACCACCTAAGTGCGTTAGGAGGAGCCGGGAGCTGCTGCAGGTGAGGGAGGGAGTGACGTCAACGCGCAGCTGTGACTTGACCTACTTGGCATCGTTCCAACAACAGCTTCTTTAGTTGAATAGGGACGATTTTCTTGAAAAAATATTCCAAATTACATGGTTGTTCCGGTCGAACGATAACATTTTGTGTTAAAGTGCTACAATGAACAGCTCATTATAATTATCTTTCCTGATTCATGCCTGATTTCGCAAAGGGGGAAGTGATTCATGCAGAAAACCAACAAAACGAAGTTCGCAAGCATACACTGCTCACTGTACACTGGTAGAAGAAAAAGAAGTCAAAGAAAACCATAGTTAATTGGTCCGTGCTACCCTATCTTTAACTGCCTCTAATTGACTTGGTGACCAAGTGTTTTTTAAATGTAATTTAACTGAGACGTTTAATTAGCGCAATGACCTGAAGGAAGAGAATAGGCATAATATGTATTTCGTGACTTCGCGGTCTTTCCAGATTCACTTGATATTGTATCGCTTACCTGATCAAGTGCCGAATTTCTGCGCAAGGCGTGCTTTCGCGACACCGAGATCTGCATACTTACCTGGTGCTGGGTCAGTGGTAATCACGGAGGCCGCGGCCCCCATGCCGAGGTCGTTCCGTTGCACTGCGGTTGGCTGATAAGCACGCCACTTCCCCAAGTCGGGGTAGCTAAAGCATGCAATTTCCGGTAATGGGGCTATAGGCGTACGCGCCAGCTCCTAATATTGAAATCAAAGGAAAGGTGGGAAGCGAAGTTGTCTTGAGAACTTGACACTTATTGGTAACAGTCACCGCTAGAGGACTACCGATTTAACAACTCACCAACAGGGGCGTAGCCAGAGGATGGCACACCAGACCCGTGCCCCCCCCCCCCCTCTTCCCAAACATAAAAAAAGTTTTTGGCTACGCCCCTGCTCAGTGACTAGACATCCGGGACCGCTATATCACTGCGCGCGAGAGTGATAAAAAAAACGGGGGGGGGGGGGGGGGGGGGGGCTTCTGATCATCCAAAGAAGGTTGCGGAATACATTCACCCTGGCGGACATCTTGTCATTTTTTTAGTGCGCAGGATTACAGCAACGAGTGCTTTTTGACAATAATGGCTAGCCAGGATCCCTTAATGGTGAGCTGCTCCTCTCCCCAATGAAAAAAATTGCCCGCAGCTTCCCTCGGGAGAACACTGAGGAGGATGCGGACCATATAATTGGTTAACGGGGTGTTAAAGTGCGACTTACTTGGGTCGATGGCTAAATTGGTTAACGTGGTTGTGAAATGGGGTGTTAAATTGCGACTTACTTGGGTCGATGGCTTAATTGGTTAACGTGGTTGTAGGAGGGGGTGTTAAATGAGTGAACACGTACACACGTATGCGAAAGGGCGGCGCTGGTCGAAGGGACGTCGATCATTGTGTTTGTGGATTCGTTGGAATTCATTTCACCGCAACCTTGGACGTCGACGCGCCATACAAACCAACCGACGAGCGGCAACTGAGCGAGCGAGCGCCGACCTTGAGTATATATACAGCACGACGGCGCATGCACTGTCAGCTGTTGAATGTTCTCGAAGCGCGACGCCACATGCGCGTCCACTGGAGAATCAGGAGAATTGTAGATGTCGAACGCGGTGTGTAGAGGAGGAAGGGTGCACAGATGGTGGAGGAGTGAAGCGCGCGCGGTGTGTAGAGGAGGAAGGGATGCACAGATGGTGGAAGAGTGGGCGACGGCGCGACGGCGCATGCGCGCGCGTCAGCTGTCGAATGTTCGAGAAGCGGTGCGGACGGCGTGGACGGCGCGGACGGCGCACTACAAGGCGCGAGTATAAGATGCTCCGCATCTAAAAACCAGTGCACACCTGCGCTGGCCATTAAATATAAGCTGTTAGAGAGGAACCCGGAATCATTGTTCGCCTCCATATGATGCCAAACGCATTGAATGTTTCATTAGCGAGTATTTTAATTGCATTGCTATACTTGACTTACGTAGTTAACAGCCTTAGCTTTCCCCTTGACAACCACAACTTTGAGAATGCATGCTTTAATTCTGTTACCGCGCTGCCAAACTGTACGATGTACACTGATAACACTTTTGTCCCATCTTGGAGAGCCTTAGCATTCCGCGTGCTGTAGTGACGGGTTTGATCCGCGGTGGTTTGACCGAATGGGCAAGTAAATAGAGCCATTGTGTACTTTGTTGCTGTTGCAGATACGCACGCTCATTGCAAGCGCTCAACAATCACGCGGATGATAAGAAAGGTGAAAGTACTAAAAAAATCCCAAGCATTTCCCCGAGGGTGAACATGGTTAAGTGCGAATGCACGGGGTGATGCTATGAGGGGTATTTATTAATTCGCACTATTATATTTATTAATCCCACTATGGTGCCTTTATGGTGTAATGGTTCCTGGGAATCGCAATTTGATCACACGGGGGAGTTTACGTTAACTCACTGGCGAATGCCAACGGATTTTAACTTTACTCCCCCTCACGACCCGCTCTCGACGGGAGACTGAGAGAGAAGGCGGGCGCGCGAGAGAGAGGGGTGCGCGCGCAGCTGCAGCGAGCGAGGAGAGCGGAGGAGCGAGCGAAGGGGGAGGGGGTATAAGGCGCGTTACTGACACCGATATCAGCGTCGCGTCCGTAGAGCGTCGCGCTGCGGCCCGCCTAGTCCTCTTTCTTTTAAAGATAGAGAGAAGACTGCGGACGCCGCCGACGGCGGTGGATGGTTTGGGGTCGCTTATAAAGTGTATTCACACTTAAAAAATATAGTGGCGTTTGCTGTGGACGCCATGGTACTACAGCAATTTATTCAATGCCGCTCAAATTTCTACCCAAATTCACACAACCCATCGGAGCATTTTGTAGGATTGAGCGTGCCCTGACATTACGCAGTACTTACCGCCGTATTCACAAACGCTCCTCGACTCCACTTTCGCCCTTCACTTGACAAAGTTGAGCACTGCGCCGCTGCTCGGCTGAAAATGACGCTCCGCTGTTCGAGAATTGCACCACGTTATCGCTGATATGCAGTGACTTGCGGAGACAAGAGAGGGCGCTTCCATCGGCTTTCTCAAGTGAATGTGAAGCGTTGAGTGAAGGGACGTTCTATAATACGGGAGTTAGGCACTTTGCCCCCATCGAAATGCGATCGCCGCGGTCGCTATCGAACCTGCACGTTTCATATCAGCAGTTGTGCACCATAACCACAGGTTCATACGAATACCACACAAAAAAAAAAGAAAAGAGAGAAAAAAAAACAAGAAATACTGCGGTTGCACAGCGTGCCTTATCTCTAATCTTAACATACTGTTGCTATCTATGGCCATGTGTACTGGTAACTACTGGATTACACACCAATATTCATAGCAGAATTATTTGCTATTGTGCTGGCACTGCGGAAACTTTTTTTGGGCGAATCATAAGCAGTCTTAAATACAGATTATTTCTCAGTATGTGCCAATCTGTCTTCGGGAGTCAACTTAACACTTATGCATATGTTTCGACAACTCATACCGACGCCATCGGTACCAGGCCATCATGGCATATATCTCAATGAGATGGCGGATGCACTATAATAGTCACAGTATCTCTTAGCGGTCTCCTTATCCCAATTTTGCCTGATACGGCTAATGCGACAGCAATAAGGTTTAGAAACTTTTGTTTGCATAATGAAATCAACTCCTACTCATTGGATAAATTTCGAGAGTTCGCACATCTAAGATGTTACTGGAATAGACCGTGGTGCGCAACATGGCAACTGGAAGTTACTTATATCAGGTTACTTAGTAGAATTCACAAACTAAATTATTATTTAGTTTGGCGCAAACGGGACATAAAGGCGTCACCTTTATGTCAGGTTTGCGAAGAAGTGAGAACGATACATCATTTCTTTTAATTCTGTCGCTGATATTTTTACCAGCGGAAAAGATACCTGGTAGCTCCCCTTAAAAAATTAGGATTAGAATTAAATGTGGCAGTAATTTCATCGTTTGGCAGCGTTAAGTTATGTTATAACCACAGCGACGTCTGCTCTGCGGTATTTGACTACATATTTGAAACAAAGCGATTGCCATGTTAGTGTGCCTTTTTTATATCATTTGTTTTGGACCCACCACTACCTCTGTCTCAAATCACATCTGATAGCCTGCATCTTTGCTCAGATATACTCCTTTATTAGCTTATTGGCTTTTCTTTCTTTATATAGTGTGTCTCAGGTAATTTTAGCCAGAGTTTGAAAATATGCCGGCACACGCGATTATGACGCGACCAAATGCATATTGCTCACCATCGCCTGGCGTTAGTCATACTATTTTTTTGTATTCTCAAGTATTGTTTATTAGGTATGTTTAATTAACTAGCTTTGCAAGAAACGAAGATAGATAAAAATTTTCAATGAGAAAGTTGTAGATCGATTTGCAAAACGTTCGATTAGACAGTTTTGAACTTTATATCTGCAAGATATTAGTGTTTTTCTGCTAATTACAAATGCCCGTGAAATACAAAAAATACCACGTGACAAACCCGCTCGTACGAACGCGTACGAACGACCGTAGCATTTGCCCCATTGTGCTGTCTCGGCAGGGCCGCAACGCTGGTGGTGGCTTTACGATGAACACGTTTTGCTATCGGCCACAAGAACGATAACTGCTGTGACTGCTTATCGCTGTCATGAACCGGCGCGAGGGATGCGTGTCGTTTAATTAAACACATCTAATGAAACAATATTTGAGAGCACAAAAAATAGTCTAACTCCAGGCAACGGACGGTGAGCAACATTATATACATATATACATATATATATATATATATATATATATATATATATATATATATATATATATATATATATATATATATATATATATATATATATATTGTAAGCACATTCCAAGCATTTGATCGTTCTCACTTGCACATACCCATCATCATCGTTCTCACTTGCACATACCCATCATCATCGTCCTCTCTCTTGGTGTGGTTCTGGGCCGAGCCAGACATCGCAGAAAAAACGCTTCTGCTCGCCCTGCCTGCTCGCCGTACCTAGTCTGCCTGCGTCTTTCAGAGTGGTGGAGGTGCTGGGTACAATCGGCGACCAGATCGGAGCTCCAGGTGGGAAATGAACGTAGGAGGACGTCGGGATCGTCGAGATACGCCGAGACTTCACCTCTTCATTCTGCTACCGCCACAGAAATCGCCAATTTTTTCTTGAACTCCATCGTCTTGCGCCACGGAGCCCCTCGCGTCCTTTTGAGTGACCGTGGCAAAGCCTTCCTTTCCAAGGTCCTGGATGAAGTCCTGCAGGCGTGCAATACAGTGCATAAAACCACTTCTACATACCATCCGCAAACGAATGGCCTTACCGAGCGCTTCCACCGAACACTCTCTGACATGATATCGATGTACTTGCATCCTGACCACAAAATTGGGATAACATTTTACCGTTTGTCACCTTCGCATACAATACTGCGGTACAACGATCAACTGGCTACAGCCCGTTTTTTCTCGTGTACGGCCGATCTGCCTCCTCGGTCTTCGACACGGCATTTTTCTTTGCACCGGCTCCAAGCAGTACCTCGCTCCCAGAAGAGTTCGCAGCCCGAGTCACACAATGCCGTGAAATTGCTCGCAAAAACACGGAAGCAACCCAAAAGGAGAGAAAACATCGCTGTGATAAAAAACGACGCGACGTGGCCTTTAATGCTGGCGATAAGGTTTTACTATGGACCC